GAGATCATCTGGCAGTGCTGCCCAGCGCCCCAGTAAAGCAGCAGGTAGAGATGCCAGCAGGAGCCATAGCTCGGATGCTGCTTACCTGCCCAAGTGCAGCCACCTGCACAAGTTTCTTGGCCATGTCTGCATTTGCCTGTTGCACAGCTGCCAAAGCTCTCCTGGCCTCCACTGCCACCTCTGCCACGCCAGCACCCAGCTCCTCCTGTGCCTGCTGGATTTCCTCATACCTGTGTGGGCAGGATGCCACTGTCAGCTGAGGCCCTCGGGTCTCTCAAATGATGAAGATGACAGCTTGAGACCTGGCCCTGGACACAGATGTAGGGGGGAAACACTGGGGGCTTTCCCTGAAACACACCAGCACACAGTATTCTGTTTTTCTTCTTTACACCACTGCAGTGCAATGAGTTTGACAGAACTCAGCATATCCCTGTTGGACAGATGCCAAATCACTACGACCAGGTCCTGTAACAGACACCTGGCCAGAGGTAAGGGGCTGTGGTGCCCTGCCAGCCCTCCTTGCTGCCAGTCCCTCACCTGGCCTCCAGCTCATGCTGTGCATCCCACGTCGCATTTCCTTCCAGGAGGCTCTGCAGGAGCTCGGAGCTGGTGTTGGAGGCATACAGAGCTCTCCTGACCACTTCTTCCACCTGTGCCACAGCAACCTCATGGCTGCAGGGACAAGGACACCCAGAGAAATGATGTTAGGATTGGTGTCCTGGGAAAGGAGTGCCCTCCCTGCACTCCTACTGGGCCAACAGCTTCCTCTGCCTGTTGCAGCTGTACCTCTCAGACAGAGCCTTTGCCTCCAGTGCCCAGTGGCTCCAGTTTGTGGCCTGCTGAGGGATTTCCTGGGGAATCTCCTTGAAACACAAACAACAGTGAGACCCCAGCAGAGAGCAGGCAACCACAAATTGCACCAGCCCAGCACCACCAAGAACCTCCCAAAGGGCAGGAGCAAGGGAAGTATCTCCTCTTGACTCAGCTACAGGGTGGGCTATACCCACATGGACCCCAGGCTTTTCTGCTCACCCACTGTGCTAGTCACATCCCACCCCACCAGTCCTGAGGGGCACATCCCACTGCCCCTAGGATTGCCACCAGCCCCCTCAGGACCACTGACAGCCCACACCATGGTAGCCAGAGTGTCTGCAGCCTGCAGGATCTCCTGCTGCGCTGACTGCAGCACGGCCCCGATCTCTGTCAGCAGGATGCAGGTCTTTGGGGGTCCATGGCTGGAGCAGTTGGTGGTCTGGCTGGCATTGGTGAGACGGCCTTGTGCAGTGTTCAGCATCCCTGCCAGCTGTGTCACCTGTGCCAAGAGGGTGGCCCAGGCACCTGTGGGCAGCACAAGCAGCTTGTTGCCCACAGAGGTGCTTGGGGCTCCCTGCTTGCCTGTAGGGCTGCCCCACTCCCCAACCTCCCACTTGCTAGTGAAAGGGGAAAACAGTCCCTCTGTCTGCTCAGGAGGAACCCAGGGATGCAGCATCCAATGGGCACCCACATGTTAGTGCTCAGCCCCCAGTAATGCCCATCTCTGCCTGCTCCAAAACCTCACAGGTGTGAGCATCCCTGCAGTGCTCTGTCCTACCCAAAAAAAGCATGTCCCCCCACTGCTCTCCCCACTGGGTTGCCCTGTGACTTATGTTGAGCCCATGGCTGACCTGGGACCTCCTTGCACCCACCCAGCATGTCACAGCACCCTGCAGGATCAGGGGTGACATGGGGCTTCCCCTCTGGTGGAGGAAATGGGTGTCCCTCATACCTTGCAGGAGGTGTGGGCTGGGCAGCCTGTCTCCCCGGGGTGCATCTCCCAGCATAGGAGACTGGCCTGGGTGGGCATCACAGGCTGGTTTCTGCAGCCATTCCTCCATCTCCTGCAGCTTGGCCTTCAGCCTGTCAGCCTGCAGGCAAGGGGACACAGTGGGACAGTGAGGCAGTGCAGGGGTTAGGGTGCTGTGCCCACCTTGGCAGTGCACAGGCTGTACCTCATCCTTCACCAGCCCATAGCAGGCAGGACACTGCTGGCAGCGAGAGCTCAGCGGGTCGAGGAAGAAGTTGGCCTGGCACCGGTCACACTTGTAGCCCACGAAGCCAGGCTGGCAGAGGCAGGTGCTGTTCTCATGGCACTGCAGGGTGATGGAGCCCAGTGGGGAGCAGTTGCAGGCTGCAGTGATGGCAGGAAGGTGTCACACCATAGCTGCCAGCAGTGCTTTAGGCACCGAGGCACCGTCCCCATCCCTGTTACCTCTGCAGCCCCTGGCAGAGAAGCCGAAGTAGCCATGGTGGCATCGATCACATTGCTTCCCTGTGACACCTGGCTGGCAGGAACACTGCCCTGTCAGTGCGTGGCACCTGCTGTCCCGTGACCCCGTCGGGTGGCACTCGCAGCTGGCACGAGAAGCAGGAGTTCATGAGGAGGCAATGGATGCAAAAACAGAGACCAGAGCCAGGGATACAGAGCAACCCTGGCACCCCCACACCATGCCCTCCATACCTCTTGCACCCTACAGCAGGCTCCAGGCCGTAGTAGCCAGGCTGGCACTGCCCACAGGCTCTGCCCATCACGTGCGGGAGGCAGTGGCACTGGCCAGTGCTGGGATCACAGCCCTGCAGTCCTGGGGCTGAGCCACTGGGGTTGCAATCACAAGCTAGGGGAGATCAAATAGGAACTACATCCCAGCACGGGGCTGGTGGACAGGACTGTGGGAATGGGGCACTGGGGGTGAGCTCCCCTCAGTGTGGAGATCCACATCCCCCCACCAACAGAGCTCTGAGAGGGTGAACTCCTGCAGAGCAGAGTATCTCCAGGGAAGGATGGCAGTGGGTAAAGGCCATTCTAGAGCAGTTGTGGCTAACCTGGACCATCCATCAGCCCCTTAACCTGCTGGGGGCCCCTTCCACCTTCTGCCTCCACTGCTGGGTGGATTTTGGCTGCAGCTGGACCCGAGGGAGCAGGGCTGGCCCTGGGGATGTACGTACGTGCACACTTCCCAGCGGGGCTGGGAGCCAGCGCGTCCCCGTAGAAGCCCAATCGACACCTCTCGCAGTGCTCGCCCATCGTGTTGTACAGGCAGCGCAGACACCGGCCAGACACAGGGTCACAGTTCCCCACGGCATTGAGATCCACATTCCCGTGACACTGGCAGGGTTCACAGGGATGCACAGGGCCCCTCTGCCCCAGTGGGTCCCCAAAAAACCCATCGTCGCAGAGCTCACAGCGTTTTCCTGGGGAAGGTGAAAAGGAGAGGGGAGGGTCTGGCTGTGCTGGTGGTGCTCACAATCTCTGAGCCCATCCACCATGTCTTACCTCTCTGCCCTGGGGGGCAGTGGGTGCAGACCACCTCCCCACTGCTGGGCACCTCGGTGCAGGGCGAGTGGCCAGGGCAGGGACATGGTTTGCAGTCATCGAAGCGCCCTATGAAGGGGTTGCCGTAAAACCCAGGGCTGCAGCGCTCACAGGAGGGACCCTCTGTATTGTGCAAGCATTGGCAGTGCCCTGCAAGGAGGAAAACAGAGCTGAGGGTCTGCAAAAAACCAGCCCCAAACAACAGCAGGGACTTTGAGAGGGATGGGTAGCCCAGCACTGAGCATGGCACACTGGATGCCAAGAGGAATATCCAGCTCCAGCCGGGGCATCACACTGAAGTTGCAGATCTCCAGCCAATACTTGGAACTTTTTCCCTCCCTGCCCTGTCCCTGCTCAAGGGAGGTGGTTTTGGAGAGGATGTGGGGG